TGCGCCGACGGTGCGGGGCGCTGGGGCAGGGCCTGAGGGCGGACCTGTGGTGGGGAGCTGGGGCCCCAGAAGGGAACGGAGCTAGGAAGGAACTCCTGGGTTCTTAAGGGAGCGAGGCTTTGGGTCCACACACAGGATCGCGCGCGGGATCGCAGGTAGAGCAGGACGCTGCAGCGGGATTGGTCGGGCTCGGCTGATGTCTGCTCCCTCTCTAGGAGCTGTCTGCTGGCTCCGGGAAAAGGGTCCCCGGCGCTGGGGCCTTCCAGGGGCCCCAGGAGAAGCTGGGCTGTGTGGTACCGACAGCCCCGAGGGGTGCCCCTGCCCTGCTCCCCCGGGGACCCCCAGGTTGAGGGTTCTGCTGCGGGCTACCGGCCTCTGAGTGCCTCCAGCCAGAGCTCCCTGCGCTCGCTCATCTCCGCTCTCTGACTCTGGACCCCCAGGGTCCGCTGGACTCGCCACCAGCGAGATACTGAGATGCTGTGCTGCGCCGCGCCCTACCTCGGCCTTGCGCCTGTTTAGGGGCAGCTCGGCCTCTGGTCATCTTGGGGAGACCAGAAGTCGGACAGGAAACATCTGGTGCTATTATCTGGGACTTGCCCTTACCGTGGGGGTCCAGATGGTCCAGACCAAAGGGCAAGAGAAATCCAGTCCCCTCTCCATGGACCTTTATGTGGGGGTGGTCTCTGGTTTTAGAGGTCTTTGAACCCCTCTGGGGGTGATCTTAGACTGCTGTCCTCAGTGAGAGGTCACAGGTCAATAAAAATGGTCAAAAAGACCCCCACAGACTTTGAATAAAGGATCTACTTTGGTCCGGTCCTCGAAAGTTCTTCCGCGGTGGGAGAAGCATGTTAATGACCATATAGGCGCCGAGGGTTGCATGTGTCCATGCAAATGAAGGGCGTTGCACGCAGACTTTGGTGGAGCTGCCTAGAACGCAGAGAAGGATCCGGAACGCAGACAGATGGGTGGATGGGTGGAGTCCTGTAGAAGGCGGGGGCTCAAGAGGAGGAGGATCGTGGGCAGCGTTATGCTGAAGAAGGGGTGCCTTCCTGGTCCCTGCTCAGGGTGGACGGGGCGGAGGCCAACTTTGCTCCCTTGGCCTCCAACCTTACATCTTTTCTGTTTCCTGTCTGTCCTGGGCAGGGCCCCGCAAGGATGCGCCTTGTGGGCGATAACTGGGAGCGAGTTGGGCTGAGCCCACGCTCCGAGAAGCCTGGCGCGAAGGGCAGGGCCTCTCCGGACAGCTGCGGGCGCGTGAGGCACGCCTTCAAAGGCCTGGGTACCGTGGAGCGCCTTGCTGCACTCCGGAGGAGTCCGGCCGGTGGAAAGATCACTCTGGAGTGGGGGCGCACCGAATCTAGGCCGGACCCAGGCCGGACCCGTCCGGCAGCACCTTGGACAGAGCCCGGTCTGCAGGGTGGGGCTGGGTGGCGGGGCTGTGCCCTCGAGGGTGGGTGCACAAAGGTGCGGAGACCTGGGTGTCACGCGGAAAGCCCGGATGCACAGTTCTGAGGGACACGAGGTGCCAGGCTCATCCTAGCGGAGCTCGCAGGACCCGGAACGTCGGGTCGCAAGCCCCCAGCCACCCCATGCAAGTAAGACTGGGATCGCGCATACTATGCTAGGAGGCGAGGCCTGGGCGGCCTCGGGGCGGAGCCTCCCCGCCGGCCGCGCCCATTGGCTCTCGCTGCGCCGACGTCAGGAGCTCAGCGCGCGAAACGCTGGCCTGCCGGCGGGGACTATGAGCCTGGGCGGAGCCTGACGTCCCCTCCCGCGTCCGGCCGCGCCCGTCCTCCCGGCTGCAGAGAGACTACCGGCCACCGCTGCCGCCGCGAGCAGTCCCTGCGGCGCGACCGCCTCGGCGGAGCCGACCGCAGTGCGCTCAGGCGTCCGGTGCGTCCCCAGCCTCCACCCCGGCGCGGGGGCGTCGGACTCGCGCGTGCGCAGCGCGGGAGGGGCGCGGGCTGGGACCCCCTAGCCAGCGCGTGCGCCGATCAAGCACAGGGCGGCGGGTGGGCGCCGGGCGCCTGGCAGTGATGGGCCTCCCCACGCTGCGGCCCCACTGAGGAGGCGGCTCGGGGACAGGAGGAGCACGGGCTGCCCGCGTGGTACGGACCATGGCGTTCCTGGCCGGGCCGCGCCTGCTGGACTGGGCCAGCTCGCCGCCGCACCTGCAGTTCAATAAGTTCGTGCTGACCGGGTACCGGCCCGCCAGCAGCGGCTCAGGCTGCCTGCGCAGCCTCTTCTACCTGCACAACGAACTGGGCAACATCTACACGCACGGTGAGCCGCGTCCCGCAACGCGCTTCCCACACCCGTGGCCGCCCTGCCCGCGTTGGGCCGGGGGCTTTGAGGCCGAGGAGGGCCCCAGCGCCCAAGTCCTGGGCTGCCCCGGCCCTGGCACGGCCAGTAGCCGCGGTGACAAAGCTGCCATTGTCCCGGGCCGCGCTCCCAGCTTCCGCTTTCCCAGCAGGTGGGGGCCGGGTCAGGAGAGCGAAGCAGAGTGGGGTCTGAGCCTGCTTAATCCCTCTGAGCCCCAGGGGTAGGGAGCCTGGTGTCCAGCCTCTGTAATCCCAGCGCCCTGGGCACCGTCTCCCGCCAGCACCCAGCCGGGAGATGGTGTTGACTGCGGTGAAGAGGGCCCAGGAGGAGCCTCCCAGCGCAGCCGTCCTGACGCCCCCGCCCCAAGCAGCTCTGTCTTGGGGCTCCGCCTGGTGGCGGCTCCTTCTTCCCCCAACAGGCGCCCGGCCCCTCCTCCGCGCCCCGCGGAGCTCTGCTGACACAGCCCTGCCCGTCCTTGAGCTGCCCCAGGCAGGCAAGGGACCCTGAGCGGCTGGGCCTGGCCTGGGTGCCTTCCCCGAGTTTTTGCCAGGCCACATCCCACAAGAGTGGGCAGCCTTCGGAGCCCCATTTGGCCCCCGGGAGGTCAGTGCTAGAGGCAGGCGGGGAGGGGTGGAGAACTCCCAGAAAGGGCTAGGCTGGAATGAAACTCCCCCGGGAAAGGCCTGGGGAGATGAGAGGAGCCCCTCACAGCCCCCTTCCCTTCATTCTGGACTTGTCTTCCCCTGCCTGGTCTCACCCCTTTTTGGAAGATAAAAAGGCCCAGTGCCTCTATTTGTCTGGACACTTATGAAGAGGGGAGGACTTGGGTTGGGAAGAGCAAGCTAAGTGGCCCCGGGCTGGCATCACTGCTCATGTGTCCTCTTCACAACTCAGCTTGAGGTTTCACTGCCTTAGGCTTCTCCTGTGACCTCCTGCTTGTGTGGGGAGAGCAGTGTGAAGGTGGGAGGGCGCAGGCTTGCCCTCTGCCATTGCTTACTTGCTGGGCTCACCTGGGGCCTGTTGCTCAGCCCCTCCAAGTCTGTTTCATCACCTGCAAAGTGGGGATCATGGTCTCTACTTCCCAGACCATCCTGAGCCATGATAAGTAACCAGTGCCAAAAGCCATTTGCCCAGGGCCTGCCTCTGGCCAAGGCCAGGCGGCCAGCTGGATGACAGCATTACCTGGACCTGTCTTGCTCTGCCCTGTGTTGTGTCTGGACTGTGGTCCCCTTGAGGATGTGACTGAAGCTATCTGGTAGATGACTGTCTCCCTCCCTAGGGTTGGCCCTGCTGGGCTTCCTGGTGTTGGTGCCAATGACCATGCCCTGGGGTCAGCTGGGCAAGGATGGCTGGCTGGGAGGCACACACTGCGTGGCCTGCCTGGCACCCCCCGCAGGCTCCGTGCTCTATCACCTCTTTATGTGCCACCAAGGGGGCAGCACTGTGTACGCCCGGCTCCTCGCCCTGGACATGTGTGGGGTCTGCCTTGTCAACACCCTTGGTAAGTCAGGGTCCGAGGGATGGAAGCTGGAGCCACTGGTGGGGGAGGCATGGGACACGCATACAAGCCATGGGTAGGGAAGGGCGGGCGGACCCTCACACTGACGTGCCCTCTCCTGTTCTCTCCTCTGTGCAGGGGCCCTGCCCATCATCCACTGCACCCTGGCCTGCAGGCCCTGGCTGCGCCCGGCTGCCCTGGTGGGCTACACCGTGTTGTCGGGTGTGGCCGGCTGGCGTGCCCTCACCGCCCCCTCCACTAGTGCTCGGCTCCGGGCATTTGGTTGGCAGGCTGCTGCCCGCCTGCTGGTATTTGGGGCCCGGGGAGTGGGGCTGGGCTCAGGGGCTCCAGGCTCCCTGCCTTGCTACCTTCGCATGGACGCACTGGCGCTGCTTGGGGGGCTGGTGAATGTAGCCCGCCTGCCCGAGCGCTGGGGACCCGGCCGCTTCGACTACTGGGGCAATTCCCACCAGATCATGCACCTGTTGAGCGTGGGCTCCATCCTGCAGCTGCATGCCGGCGTTGTGCCCGACCTACTCTGGGCTGCCCACCACGCCTGTCCCCGGGACTGAGCTGCCATGCCAGCCTGCCCACAGCAGCCTCCAGGTGTTCTTCCCAACTTGTCTGCAAGGGATTGGTTCCCTGGATGCTTCCAGCTCACGAGACGTCTCAGCAGGAGCCCTGTTCACCCGTTCTTCCCTGTGGACTGACCTCTTCTGCCCATGCCGTGGCACTCCAACTTCCTTCCCTGCCTTTTCCCTCCAAGCTCCTGTTTTACTGTGTCAGCTGGAAGGAAATCTTTCCCTCTTGGGACCTCTTTACCCTCTGTGACCTGTGGGGTTGGACCAGAGGGACTCTGGGGTCATGTCTTGCTCTGAGAATTCAAGTCCTGCCAGGCCGCCAGCCCGGAGCCCTCACCCCATCCTGCTCCTCCCACCAGGCCTCTGGCCAGCCCTTTGGGCCCAGGCTTCCTGACCTCCATCTTTCTGCCCTGCATACCAGCCCTCCCAGCAGCCACAAGCTTGCCTGCCCTGGCTCCCTCCGCCCAGAGACTATGGAGTAAGGCATTCAGGGCAAAAGGACCAAGGGGGCATGGACCCTTCTTGTACCAGCTGGCCACAGGCACAAGGGCCGCAGCTGCTGCTTCTAGGAAACGGGCACAGGGAGCTCAGTGGCCTCGGATCCTGGGACCTCTGGGCCGTGCCTGCCCTCCACCTTGAGTGCCATACTCCAACAGCTCCAGGTGCCCACCAGGGATGTGCCTGCTCAGGAAACCTCTTTGTTCCACACAGCATGGGGCTTCAGCTGCTGGCCCAAGGCTAGGAGTGCTGGGTTCTACAGCAGGGCTCAGCCTCAGGGGCCTAAGACCCTGGATGACATCAATAAGGGGACAGGAAGGGCCATGTTGCCACATGAGCAAGCTTGGGTGCTCCCAAGGCTCAAATACTTTTTATTGGACATGGCCAGGCAGCGAAGACCATGGGAGTTCCCGAGGGGCCCCAGCTTTCAAGGGCGGTGGGAGGGGCACAGGATAAAAGGTTAAAAGTGCAGAGGCAGAGCCTGGGGCTCAGGTTGGGTCTAGGGTGTCCTCAAACAGGCTGAGGAGGTTCCGAGGCTCAAAGGAGGGGAAGGAGCCCCGAGGAGGCTCTGAGTCGATGTCACTTAGGTCCAGGGCATCCCTGGGAGTAGGGAGGAGAGAGTAGTAACACTCAGGATCCAAAAGCCAGCCCTGCCCACCCGAGCCCATGGATCTGCTTACCTGGGTGTGCACCTGCTCCGGGGGGTGGAGGTGCTCCCCACAGTCCGGGCCAGGACAGCCTCAGGGGAGAGTGAGGGCCTGCAGGAGGGCGGGCAAGACAAACAGGGTGTCCAGGGCTAAGAAGTACGGGATAAAACCAGCTCCGTCCCTACACAGGCTCCAGGCTCCTGCCTGACAAACAGGCAGGGAGCCACAGTCAGGGACAATAAAAACTTGGTGCACTCTGAAAGCAGCACTTGGACAGCCTTCAAAGTCCTTCCATCTGGCTGCACTCCAAGGCCCCCTCTGTCCTTTTCAGAACACATGGACTTGACTGAGGCAGATCTGAAGTAAACTTTTAGTGAATGTAAGCCTTCCTGGAACTTCTTGTTCGCTATCAAGTGCCCCCGAGGGAGGAGGTGATATTTGTCAGGAAGGGGCTAACTGGAGTCCCCAAGAGCTGTCTGCCCCGAGTGTGTGGTTTCCTAATTACAGCCTCTCACTCAGCTACCACGCCCCAGGGACCAAGGACTTGTTCCTGGGGCAGCGCTCCCCAGACTCTAGAGGCTTTCTCTTCCCAGAGAAGGGACAATGTTTTGTCCCTGGGCACTGGCAGCCTCCACTGGTGTCGGGGATGCACGGCCGGCCACTCCCTGGGTGCCGGTGCCCTAACGTGAAGCCATGCCCTGAGCAGCCAGTCCACACGCCCAGCTGCATTAAGCCCGGCCGGGCCGCACCCCACGTCTTGGTTCCCTTCCCCAGGGTGTGATGGGGGCCAGGTTTGTGGGAGTGGTCCCCATTCACCACGAATCTCCATGGAGCCCCAGTGATATCCCCCACCTTCCTCCCAGCCCCCCATACCCTGCACTCAAACCCACCCTAAGCTGTCGTCATCCCAGTTACTGGAGAGACTGCTGTCCAGGAGCAAGCTGCAGGGTGGTGAGCCAGGCGGGGTGGCTGGCGGGCCTGGGGGCTGTAGCCAGCTGGCAGGGTGAGCCAGCCCATGCCAGAGCCAGCAGAGCAGGGCAAGCAGGGCCTGTGGGGGAGAGAAGCTCAGGATGTGGGCAGGCAGACCCTGGGGCTGGGGGCAGGGCAGGCAGCCGCCACTGTCAGGAGCTTACCTGCCACAGGGCCCACCCTCGGCTCAGGGCCTCCGCTGCCATGCACCACAGCACACCCCAGGCCCGCGGCTGCCTCAACATAGGCAGTGCCAGCAGGGCCTCGGCTGTGGCCCGCAGCTTGGGGTCCGGCTCCAGCATCATGACAAGGACAGAACGCAGCTCGGAAGACAGACCTGCCCATGAGGAAGGACCACATCAGGGTCCCAGAACGCCGACTGCACCCTAAGCCCAGCAGTGCCTCCATAGCCAGCCACTGTCTCCCCAGGAGCCCATGGCAGCACCCCCTCCAGCTCTCACCCACTCACCGGCAGTGAACTCAGGGGGCAGGTAGCCCTGGCGCAGCTGCTGCCAGCCCTCCCCACCATGGGGCAGCTCCATGTTGCATGCCACTTCCAGGATGGTGAGGCCCAGACTGGCAGGGACAGGATGGGGACAGAAGGGGGCAGGGTTGGCCCTGGGACACAGACCCAGTCCCGGGCTGCCTCTTGGAGGTGGGTGGGAGAGGGATGCTACCTTCCTTCATCAGTCAGGGAAGGGCGGAAGCAGGGGGAAGGGAGGCCCCAGCAGGGCTGATCATGAACCCTGGGCAGGATGGGGACATCATGGAATATGGGCCCTGTGCCCAGGGAACCCATGTGCCACAGTGGTGAGTCCGCCCAGTGCCCTGATGGACAGACACCAGTTACTGCTGACAGGTATGACCATCCTGATGATCAGGGCAGTGGTTACCAGTGTGGACCCTGGAACCCAGTGCCTGGGGCCAGTCTCAGCTGCGCCACCTGCTAGCAGTGGGTTCCAGCAAGGCCCTTAACCTGGCTGTAAATGGAGTGACAATTGTTTCTCCCGTAGAGCTGTGAGGAGGCAGCAGGTTACACGAAGTGGCTCTGGAGGGTTCGAGGCTCACAGGCAGCCTGACCAGAGAGCCTCTCCACTGGAGGGCAGGGACAGTGTCTCAGCCTCGTGGCTCTGAGGCCGGGTGTCCTGGGCTAGGGTGGAGCTTCCCTCCTGAGGAACAGAGCTTCCGTCCCAGGAAGGGCCTCCCACAGCCTGGCAAACACCTGGCATGCCCTGGTCCCCACCTGAACACATCCGCTGCTGTCCCATAGGAGCCCTGCAGCAGCTCAGGGGCCATGTAGCGGGGGTCTCCCTCCTGGACCTCGCCAGCTCCTGCTGTACCCAGCTCCACCAGCAATCCGAAGTCACCCAGCTTGCAGCGGCCCCGGGGCCCCAGGAAGATGTTGGCAGGCTTGACATCAAGGTGCACCAGGCCCTGGCCATGCAGGTGGGCCAGGGCAAGCAGCATATCCCGCAGGTAGCCCCAGACCTGGGCCTCAGGCAGGCTGGCGCCCCAGGCCTCACAGTGCTGCTGCAGGCTGGGCCCGCACAGCTCCGTCTGCAGGTACAGGATGCCGCCCTCCTCCCAGGCCTGCTCCAGCCTCACGCAGCATGGGTGCTGCCCCACCTTCTCGTGGCTGCCCACCTCGGCCAGCTTGCGGGCCCGGTCCTTGGGGCCCCGGAATGGTGACATGGAACGCTTTACCGCATAAAGCCGCCCGTCTTCCTTGGAGCGCACCTGGAAGGGAGGTGGTACCCACACGCAGGGTGGGGGTGAGCCACAAGTGGCACAATCAGGTAGGGGGACAACCTGACAGATCCCATTAAGGGTTCACACACGGGGGACAGTGGTATAGCTGGTATCTGTCTCAGACCCCTGCCCAGGGCAACAGCAAAACCAGACAAACCTCCATCCCTGAGGCTGGGTCTGTGGAGACCCAGTGATGGAGGAGCCAGGGCCGACCTGCACTGACCCCAGGGGACCTCCTGGATGTGTCAGAAGGTAGAAAAAGCACCTGCAGAGCAACACAGGCAGCACAGGCTGTGATGTGAAAAGTGGGCTCCCCTGTGAGAAAGCTGACCAGGGGGCCAATGTTGTTTGTACTTTTTAACAAAATTGTCTTCATATAGGACTCGTACAAGGGAAAACTATTCTTTAAAAGAAAATATAAATGACTGGAAACTGTGTTTTAGAAAAACGAGGTGGCAGGCAGGGGGTAGCTCAGATCCTGCCAGCCTGGGGAGGGCTGGCCAGGCACTGCACTCAGGGCCAGTGCCAGGGGCCAGGCAGACTCGCCAAGGACCCTGCACAGCTGGCGCCAGGGCCTGAGGAGATGGCACAGGGGCTGCCGCAGCACGTGCCAGGTTCTGGACAAGGGGCCAGTGTGCACAGAGCAGCCCCTGGAGGGGCCAGCATTGGGGGTGATGGGAGCAGCCAAGTCAAATGTGGAGGGAGCCTGTGAGCCCAGTAGGGACAGGATGTAGGGAACGGAAGGGGATCAGGCTGCCCAGGACCCTGTCCCGCCACAGGAGGGGCAGAGACACAAAGGAGGTCCTCTAGATGGGCCTGGAAGGTGTTCCCTCACTCACCTTGAAGACCTCTCCGTAGGAGCCGTGGCCCAGGCGGCTGAGCCTCTGGAAGCTCTGCTGGAAGAAGGACTCTGGCCGGCTTGGGTCATACCCAGGGCTCTGCAGAGTCTCTGAGACCTTGCCCCGGAATGACACCCGCCGGGGCTGCAGCTGGTGCCAGCCTGGGGTCCGAGGAGGGAAGAGGCGGCTGATGGGGATGCTGCCCTTGGCAGGAGGCGGGGGTGGGAGGCTCCGGCTGAGCCCTCTGGGTCTCTTGAGGGAGAATCCAGGTTCTGCGTGGCGGAAGTAGGCCGGGACTGGGATGGGGGTGCCACTCAGGGCTGGTGGGGTGCCCTCCGTGGGCATGGGCATGGCCAGTGCAGGAGGCCCTGGGGGCAGAGACAGAGGCTGAGTACACGGCAGTGTGTCCACTCTGATACCACCTGACCTTGTGGTCCCAAAGAGGCCACAGAAGAGAGCTGTCTACACCACACACTTACTCTACTTCAAACAGCCATGGGGGCAATACGCACCTACCAAGAAAAGGCAGAGGACAGACTCACACTCACCTGCCCACTGGGCTGTTGTATTTTAGAGACGATAGAAACATAAGAGGAAAACCATGGGGCCCGTGTTCTTGAGGGTCTTGCGGTCGGGTAGAGGTTAAGACCAAGGCAGTTTGGGGTCAGACGGGCTGCGCCTGCATCCCTGCCCTTGTCTTGGTCAGCTCTTTGACCCTAGACTACACAACCTCTTCCAAGACCACACGGGCCCATGATCCCTTATCTCCAGTTCCAAAGTGAAAACCCAGAATCCCTCAAGTATCTTTCTTTTTCATATCTGTCATGCCAAAACCCAGCTAGTGGTGTCCACTTCCAGAATGGCAGTGTGCACAGCCCCATGGACACCTCCCCCAGGGAAACAGCACAACTGGTGACGATTATTCAAAAGCAGGCACTGAAAGCCTCTGGGCATGGTGCCCAGGGCACACAGCAAACAAAGGTTTACACAAGAAAACCTGCCAAGGCCTGGGAATAACAGCAAGCCTATTGGTACCTGAGCCATGACACTCCTGCCCTGCCACCTCCAGCACCCCTCTCCCCCCGCCTAGCACCGTGGGCAGGTGTGGCCAAGAAGAAGGGCTCCCTCTCCCCCAGCTCCCTGTCAAGGGTTAGGGTGTTTGCCCAGGAGGGCCAGGTTCTCAGCACTTCTCAACCCTCCAAGCTCCACGTGGCAGAGGCTAAATTCCAGCTGAGTGTGGCAGACAGGCCGGGGGCTCCCTTCTTCCACCTGCCCCCACACACAGAATAGAAGCTGTATCTCAGGCCTGGCAGGCTGGGAACGTGGAGGCCCAGCTCATTTGTAGGAAGGAGGTTCCACACTGGGAGAGGGAAACCAAGAAGGCCAGAGGCTCCTGCATGACCCAGCGACCTGCTCCTAAAGCAACAGCAGCGCTCAGAGAGGTGCACTGCTGTCCTGCCCCCAGTTTCACAGCACGGCTCAGACAGAGATTTAGCCTAGGGGTAGACATAGGTCATAAACAGAGTTCTAGGCCAGGCATGGTGGCTCATGCCTGTAATCCCAGCACTTTGGGAGGCCGAGGCAGGTGGATGGCTTGAGGTCAGGAGTTCAAGACCACCCTGGCCAACATGGTGAAACCCCGTCTCTACTAAAAATGCAAAAATTAGCTGGGCATGGTGGCGTGCGCCTATAATCCCAGCTACTCGGCAGGCTGAGGCAGGAGAATTGCTTGAACCTGGTAGGCAGAGGTTGCAGTGGGCCAAGATCGCACCATTGCACTTCAGGCTGGGCGACAGAGCCAGACTCCGTCTCAAAAAAAAAAAAAAAAAAAACACACACCAAAAAAACAGAGTTCTCCCCACCCACCACCCCCTTGAAAATTGGCTTGATTTGAAACAGTGCATAGGGAAGTTCAAGTTTAAAGGGGCTGTCAAAATCAGTGGAGGTTTTGGTGGTGAGCTGTTAAGAGACTGGTACCTGTATTAGGGCAACCAGCTGAACCATAAGCCAGCTGGTTTACCACAGAGAAGTGGGGAAAGAGATAGGTAGGAAAAGTCTGCCTGCAGTCAGAACAAACCTCACTGACCTCAAAAGCCACCCTGTCAAAGGAGCTCAAAATTAATTGGATCTGGCCGGGCACAGTGGCTCATCCCTGTAATCCCAGCACTTTAGGAGGCTGAGGTGAGTAGATCACTTGAGATCAGGAGTTCAAGACCAGCCTGGCCAACATGGTGAAACCCCATCTCTACTAAAATACAAAAATTAGCCAGGTGTGGTGGTGCATGCCTGTAGTCCCATCTACTCGAGAGGCTGAGGCAGGGGAATTGCTGGAACCTGGGAGGGAAAGATTACAGTGAGCCGAGATCGTGCTGCTGCACTCCAGCCTGGGCAACAGAGCGAGACTCTGCCTCAAAACAACACACAAAAAAATTTAATTGGGTGAGCCTGTGGAACAATTTATGCCCCAAGGTATTGTTTGTTTGCTTGTTTTTGAGACAGGGTCTCACTCTGTTGCCCAGGCTGGAGTGCAGTGGTATGATCTTGGCTCACTGCAGCCTCCAACTCCCAGGTTCAAGTAATTCTCTTGCCTCAGCCTCCTGAGTAGCTGGGAATGCAGGCATGTGCCAACACACTAGGATAATTTTTATATTTTTAGTAGAGATGTGGTTTCACCGTGTTGGTGAGGCTGGTGCACCAAAGTATTATAAAAAACAATAGAGCAGCCTGGCATGGTGGCTCACACCTGTAATCCCAGCACTTTGGGAGGCCGAGGCAGGTGGATCACAAGGTCAGGAATTCAAGATCAGCCTGGCCAAGATGGTGAAACCCCATTTCTACTAAAAAATACAAAAAAAAAAAAAAAAAATTAGCTGGGCGTGGTGGCGGGTGCCTGTAATCCCAGCTACTCGGGAGGCAGAGGCAAAGAATTGCTAATTGCTTGAATCCGGCAGGTGGAGGTTGCAGTGAGTGGAGATCATGCCACTGCACTCCAGCCTGGGCAACAGAGTGAGACTCCGTCTCAAAACAAACAAACAAACAAACAAAAAACAATAGAGCAACAAACTGGTCACTGGTGGAGCCTAATAGTTGGGTGTGATTGGGGGAAAAAAATAGAGTGGGCCCTCCTAAAACCACGCTTGTCCCAGGGTGGCTGTGCACATGCCCATGGCTGCATCCTCAGGGGAGTGGCATGAGAGGCCTCACATTGCAGGGTACATAGACTATAATACAATAGTCCAGCCAGTCACCAACAAATAAACGATCACAGACCCTGGAGGAGGGTGGAGAGCCAGTATGCACAGTTACTACAACATATTACCAAAAATGTCCAGTTTTCACCAATAAACTACAAGATATACAGACACAAGAGGGTATGACCCATACACACGAAAGAACAAAACAGGCAACAGAAACTGCCCCAATGTCACTTTTTTTTTCTTGAGACAGGGTCACACTATATCACCCAGGCTGGAGTGCAGTGGTAGGATCTCAGCTTACTGCAACCTCTGCCTCCCAGGCTCAAGGGATCCTCCCACTTTTGCCTCCTGAGTAGCTGGGACTACAGGCTTGCACCATCACACCTGACTAATTTTTGTATATCATGTAGAGACGGGGTTTCATCGTGTTGCCCAGGCTGGTCTCAAACTCCTGGACTTGAGCGAACTGCCCACTTCAACCTCCCAAAGTGCTGGGATTACAGGGGTGAGCCACCACATCCGGCCTCCAGATGTCAGATTTAACAAAGACTTCAAAGCAGGCTGGGAGCGGTGGCTCACGCCTGTAATCCCAGCACTTTGGGAGGCCGAGGCAGGTGGATCATCTGAGGTCAAGAGTTCGAGACCAGCCTGGCCAATACGGTGAAACCCCATCTCTACTACAAATACAAAAATTAGCCGGGCGTGCTGGTGCATGCCTGTAATCCCAGCTACTCAGGAGGCTGAAGCAGGAGAATTGCTTGAACCCAGGAGGCAGAGGTTGCAGTGAGCCAAGATTGTGTCACTGAACTCCAGCCTGGGCAACAGAGCGAAACTCCATCACAAAAAAATATATGTAATAATAATAATAAATAAAAATCTAAAAAGAGCAGTCTCCAGTATCTGAGGGAGTAGAGCGGTAAGGGGAGGGATGCTACCTGGGCCTGGCTGGCAGGCTGCCCTCCATCTTGCGGAGACTCTTCCTCTGATTCTAATTACCTCAGAGTCCCAGACCAGGGTTTCTCCAAGTCAGGAGCCATGGTTTTGGGATCTTCGAGGTCACTGGTCACAAACACAGCCTCCAGGCCCAACCCTGGCACCCTCGGGGACCTGGACCTGTGCATCTTAACCCAGTTCTCCCACCATCCCTATGACTTACGTTCTAGCATGACTGGCCTGGCCCAACAGCCTCAGTGGTGGGATGGGGGAGGTAGGAGCAGGGGCTCCCACGTGAATCCAGGGTGTCCCTGAGCTAAGGCCAGGCAGGGGTGACCTCCGCAGCTTCCAGGGCCCTGGGCGATTGGGCCGTCTCGCCTCACCCTCTCACCAGGCCCAACACATCTGTGGGCCACCTTTCCGGGTAGACTGTAAGTTCCTTCCAGGCAGGGCCGCGGCTGAGTTCACTCCGTGGGTGTGGGGAAACCCTGGCAAACAGAGCAGTGGAAGGGCTGTCACGGGAAGGGGCTGTCACCAAGGAAGAGGGGCTGTTGCAGGAGAAGAGGAGCTGTCACTGGGGGAGGGCCTGTCACCAGGGAGGGGCTGTCACTGGGGGAAGGCGTGTCAGCGGGGGAGGGGCTGTCTCTGGGGGAGGGGCTGTCAC